TTCGAGTTACAAGGAAACTAAATAGTGCAGATAGAAGAGGGGCGTAGAATAGTAGGATAGTTAATAATAGATAAAAGTCCTGACTTGCCAATTGATTTTGAACCGGGCATAATTAAACGAAAGAAATAGAGTACAATACACGATACAGATTGAAACGATATACAAATAAATACTAACTGCTTTGGCAAGTTACACACGACGATAAATTTATCGAGTATTACAGTGATGATTAGGAATGCCATATGTATTTGAATTGATGTGTTTAATGTTTCAAGACTATGGAGTACGCGGTAGATGACAAAACTGTACACATAAATTTAAAGTCAGCTACCGTTGGTAAAGTGTTTTCGAAACACGTTTCATTTACCTAATTCTTCTTCCCAGGTTTTCCAGTCCATGGCAGACACGAGTACTGGATCAGCGCCAATACGTACAATTGTTTCGCTTTGAAACTCGTGCCTCAACCATTCTGCTATAGTAGGTACCTGTATGATCGAAATGGCTATTCTTTAAGAAGTCACACGCATATAAATAAATATACAAAGTGTTTCATAATAATGTAAATACTGAATATTGTTCATAAAAAAATTTCATTTCACTTTCAATCTAATAATAAATCAAATTTCACTTATATATTTTTTATAACTGTTTAATTTGTTCGTGTTTTTAATAAATAAAAGTAGCCACTCAGAACGTTCCCTTCCCACCCCCCTCATACTTAGTACAAGGGGTGAACGATCATCGATGACTGAGAAGTCGAAACTACGTCAACTTCTCGAGTCTTCCTCACGCTCAGGGAAAGGAACTATAGCTCCTCATCGTGGTTACATCAACTCTGCTTTTACCCAGAGATCAAGGAAGATATACTACAGAAATGATCCTGTGAAGTACGATCTTAATTTTTCCTGCTTCTCGCACCCCTTATCTTGTCCTTGATGTACACTTGCGATTGCGAGAGAGCGCTTAACTTTCTGACCACCTAGCGGCAGAATTGTGAACTAAATATGCTCGTCTGTTCTATAATATACTATATTGATTAATGTTTTATAACGTATAACTCGATATTGTACGAAATAGAAAATTATTATTATCGTTATTATAAACTATTAAACGTAATTAATTTATATTTTATTATTTGTATTGTTTTTTCTTTTGTAGACTATATATTTATTCCATTGCAGTTGTTGATGGAACAATTTCGATTACGGATTCGTGTTAGGAAAATAAATTCTACAAGAATTACTCGATGGATATTACAGATTAAAATTCGTGTTGAATAGTATAATTATTAACTCGAACATTTCATATTGAATAACAATTGTAATCATTTCCAAAGTTTGATAACGAATTAGCAATAGATAATTCACGATATTTCCTCCATTTTGAAGCAAGTTATATCCATGAAAATGATATAGTGAGGTCGTACATTAAAGCATCTATTTATCAAGTTTTATAGTAGTACTTTGAATCTCAGGCAGCAAGAATCATTTGCAAATTAATATCTAAAATCTTTAGATAATATGTATGACAAAAGTTTGTATCATTTACGACTTTAATTGGTAAACCACGAACTCATTTACAACTTACATCTCCTCTGCCGCGTTTCATGAGTATCCAATTGCAATCTAGCTGATGGTCTGCCTGAAGATAATACCTTCCATCGGTCCAGAATACGGCTTTATCCAAAGTGATGACAGCCTCTCCAGCACTGCCGTAGAAACCAGTGATAAATTCTCTCCTCATATCATGGGGATCGAGAGAATCACTCTGATCAAGACAGAAATCGTGATTTAATCGCACACGAATACACATGTGACATATTGTGTCAAAATCAAAATAAAAATCACGCTTCGTTAAGATTCTGATCGTAACGTTATTCGTTTAACAAGGGATTTCGCTTATATAAATTATTTAACGTTTGTTTAGCACTCGTGATTAGAGAAGCACTAAGATGAAATTAGAGAAAGCTTCGATAACAATGGAGACGTTTTGCGAGGGAAAAACTTGCTAAATTTTCAACCAAACGATATTTGTTAAATCAGGATCGAGATTATGGAAAGCTTTTTGGAATTATGCAAACGCGAAATCTCACGCATGGTATACCTCCACAGGGCCCTCGCGGCCATGATAAACCAACTTAGTTGTCTGAAAATTTAAGGATATCGAGGGAGAATAATCGCAGAAATTATTTAATGTATTCATAATATTATAAATAAATTGGAGATAAATTTGAAATTTATTTTGCAATAAGGATAATTAATACTCTGTGTTTAAAAATATTTTAGATTGAAGATTTTTTATTAAATTATGTTTCTTTTCATTGCACTCACCTGATGTGCGTCGTCTGAGGTGACAATGTATCCATCGAGAGGCGGTCCTTGGATGGAACTGACTCGAACCATTTCCGATCTTAATTGTTTTAATCTTAATGAAGTATCCTGTCTATTGGCTGGTTGTTTGAATGCCATTGCAGGACAGTGATACCGTTTTGCTCCGTTGTAATGCAGCAGTGATTCGACGACTTCGTTCTGAAGATAGTGTGGCATTGTGAAGCCTGTGAAAAATTATGATTTCTATTAAAGAAACTTTACTTCCGAATTAAATAATAATTTTGAACGATTATTTATTAATATAACTTGTTTCTATTAAGAAATGAATACGTAGGTATTTTTCACATTATATTTTTTCTGTTCATGTATCTTGTTATGCCACAAATATTAAATGAAAAATTAGCGAAAACGTGTCGAGTAGTTTTTGGTATTTAAGGTATAAAAGATATCATTTATTCAATAAATAAAAAAATTGTAATTGGAGGCGCCGGGTATCGATCCCGGTACCTCTCGCATGCTAAGCGAGCGCTCTACCATCTGAGCTACGCCCCCAGTTGTAAACTATGTTCCAATGATATTATAAGACGTACGCACAATACCTTGTACAATACAAATTAAAAAATAGTTTTACTAAATACGTTATTTCTCTTATTAATAATTTTATTTCTAAAATAATTAAGCGTTCGATAATAATACGCTGTCGTATAGTAATATACATGATGTTTCTTTTATGTGATGTAACTTGGAAACAACTATCAATTGGACAATTTCTTAAAGTGCTGTACCGTGATAGATCTAATTTGCTAGACCAAACATTGGCTTATTATTTCAAGGATTCAATTTAGAGTCACGATCTAGAATTCACGTTCAATCTCATTCAATAAAGTGAGGATACAATCATACATAAAAAGATGAATTTATATTTCCATCTTATAATGTTTATACTTGTAAAGTTAAACGAACTGAAATTTATCACGATTGTATTCTTGATACTTCTATAACTCTCTGCAATTACGTTTTTTCCCATACAAATTTTAAAACAACGTGATTCAAATTTCTTCAATACTACATTTTAAATTTTTCCCGCGTCCAGAATGACGAATGAAAACCACTATTATGCACTGTATAAGGATGAAGAAGAATGCTTATGGAACGACACACGCACATCCTGTGGGAATTCAGAGGGTGTGCTGAGTGGTGCTTGCGTAACAGAAAAGCAGCTTCCTCGAAGAGGTCGATCACTCCGAAATCCACGTTTCGATCGGTTTCTACATCAACCCTTACCGGAAATAATATTTCCATGTCACCTTATTTTCTTGAAATAATCGTACCCACCATCAATCACTAATTATCCACCGATCTAATTACACTCTGACTTAAAATCCTGTCACGTGAGAATAATATATAGAATAGTTATTCAAGTCGTGGAAAATCGATACGATGTAAGGAGAATGAGAACAAGAAGATGCTTTCAGTTGGGAATGTATCGCGTGCAAGGGGTAACCGGGTTACCAAATTGTTTAATTTAATAATTTAACGTAAATATCAAGTAATATTAAATATGTTACTAGGGAAGTAGAAGCGCGTGGGAGGTGGGTTTTACCCCGTTGTAACTTTACAATTTTCACCCCCGCGAGTTTTCCATCCTGCGCGCCAACAGTAAACGCCACACGCTACCGCGCTTTTCCCCCGTTTTCGTTAACCAGCAGAGAATATTCTTGTCCTCCCTTCTCTATGATTACACGTCTTTCTATATTAAATGATAGTGTCGTAGATCAAAAATATAAAACGTCCATTATATAAAATACCATCTTGGGTGAGTCTTAATACGCGAGGATTTATGTAAATATCAAAGGTCGTTGTTAAATCGTAATTTTGGGGATTAGTGGTATGAACAATTTGTCTTTTAAAAAGTCACGAGTTTATTAAAAATTTTATCTTTGTGGAATGTCGTATTTCGTTAAGTGGTTAATAACAAATTTTGTGAAATCGATAATTTTTTAAATTTGTTCGAAATTGTTCGAAAAGATTTTTCAGTCATTACAGACTTTTTACTGCATTTGATGGCATCTTACGTTTTGCTGCGAAATTATTAAGAAGATTAGGATATTTATAAAAGAAAAATTAATTACATGTTATATTTCGTGATAGAAATCAAATAAATGATTATGTGTTTGAAAGCAAATTACGAACACATATTGGTGCAAGACTAGAAGCATATATGATACGTTTTCAAGCATCCCATCGCTAATGATAGCTTCTAAAGCGTGGCTATGCAAGCGTGCCTAATTACGAAATCTTGAATAACGTAATATCAATTCACTTGGATATAAACACTTAGCCATGGACTTGTCATTTATTAATAATTCCGGAAATGTTTCTGCTCGCTCACAAAGAAGGATGATTTGTCAGCGATCAGGATGAATTCAGGATATCCGATACTTAGCTATCCGAAAAATTATCGTCGTGTGATTACTACGATTGACGGACAGGGGAAAATCATCCAGTAGAATCGTGGAAAATCATTCGTGCTTGATCGTGATTACGTTTTTACGTCGCTTACATAATCTATTTTTTCGCGGTTTGTCTTTATAGAGAATACTCTTGCCCGCAGGACGTTCTTGTCTATAAAAGCTACGTTATGAATACGAATCAGGTTAGAAGTTCAAAATGTGGCTGCCCAAGTTCGTGCTTTATGGATTCGTGGTTGTTTGGGTTTGTGCCGACCAGGATGTGCAACTGGAGATTTCTCAAGGGATCTTGAAGGGATTGAAGACTGAAACTGTTCTGCATAACAAGCCGTATTATAGTTTTAAGGGCATTCCTTATGCAAAACCGAATGTTGGTGCTGACAAGTTTCGAGTGAGTAGAGACGATACACTGGTATTATTTAATTCCACGATTAAATATTATTATTATTTTAATTCACGATTAGATTGATCACTAAAAGCAGCATCGAATTTTTGTAGTAGATAGTATTCTTGTTTTGCTACGAATTATTAATTATAAATCAAACTGGTCAATATATTATTTAATAAAACCCCTTCTGTTTCAAACGGAACGATTACTATTATATGCCAAAAATATTCGTATTATTTTTAGAGGATCCCGACATTATACTTGTAAATAATTAGATAAGGAACTAAGTATTTTTATAATTTTTAGGCACCAGAGCCAGCCGATGGATGGGAAGGCGTATACGATGCAACCAAACATCGTTCTCCGTGTCCATTTTATTGCATAATCAAGAAGGGCCTGATCGGTGGGGAAGATTGTCTCTATCTGAATGTTTACACACCTGTTCTGGATAAGGAAGCTCGTAAAGCTGTTATGGTATGGATCCATCCTGGGTTTTGGAACGGCGGTATGGGAGACGATGTTTTGTTTGGACCTGATTTTTTGGTGGAGAACGACGTGGTGATTGTTACCTTCAATTATCGGCTTGGAGCGCTAGGTAAGTAATTGCAGTGCAACAATTAGCTAAGAATATTATTAAAATAATCGATATATTAAATTATTAAGTCAGTTTGTAATAAAGTTTGTCGTATACTAAAATTGAAATTTGTAATTTTGTTCCTTTCTATCCTAGGATTTTTGAACACTGGAGATAAAAGCGCGCCAGGAAATGCTGGAATGAAAGACCAAGTTATGGCGTTGAAATGGGTGAAGGATAATATACATTTCTTCGGTGGTTGCCCGAGTAGAGTTACTATTTTTGGCAATAGCGCTGGTGCAGCTTCCGCTCAGTATCACATGTTATCTCCTATGTCCGAAGGTAAGGCAAACATTAATTTCGTAATTTTATAAAAATATACAATGTAAATTAATAAAAAAATATAAATTAATTTTATAAAAATGTACAACGTAAAATTGTGAAATTGAAAAAATGTTTGTATAATTAAAATTAAGCTATTAAAGTCAATTACAAATGGAATTTGAATTATTTTGTTATATCTTAGGTTTATTCAATGGCGTTATACAACAAAGCGGAACGATACTTAATCCATGGGCGATAAGTTACAATCCGAGAGATTTAGCCTTCATGTTAGGTGAAAATCTTGGAATTCGCACTACGGATTCTGAGGAATTGGTTAAAAGGTTAAGCGAGTTTCACGTTAAAGATATTATCACAGCTAGTAACGAAATAATGGACTCTCAGGTAAAGTATTTGAATAATAAGGATATTGAAATTTTCATTCCATTCTTTTTCTTATTTTTCACAATTGCATTATTAATAAGCATTCGTTTCTCGTAATTAATTAATTAGATGAATTTGAATTATTGCAATAAATGTCTAATTCTTTTGTGATTATAGGACCATCTGTCGGGACGCATGTTCGCTTTTGTTCCATCTGTTGAAGTCGACCTGGGACAGGACGTGTTCCTTCCAACCGATCCTTGGACCCTGTTAAAAACTGGAAGGATCGTAGACGTGCCTGTAATGTCTGGAATTACCGTCGATGAATGTGCATTTTACGTTCAAAGTAGGCAATTTATTCTCTATTGATTCATTATGTAAATTGTACATCTCGATAAATCGTTCAGGAGATATAGGTACCTTAACATTTCCCTAATCTTTTAAACATAAATTTTGCAGTGGTGATAGATGGCATCGAATTATTGAACACGGAGCCGGAGAAATTTTTACCAGTGGATTTGAATATCACTGATCCAAATACGAAGAAAGAAATGGGACAGTGCTTGAAGAAATTTTATTTCGGAGAGAAGCAAGTGTCGAAAGAGAACTTGCACGAATATATCGCGGTAATTATAATTTTATTGAAAGAGAGATGTTATATTTATGTATAGAATTCACGTATAAATCTTGTAGATGTTGAGCGATACTTTCTTTAATGCTGGTGAGTTGCTATCGACGGATATCTTGAAAAATCGAATTTCGGCTCCTATTTATGAATATCTATTTTCCTACGAGGCGCCAATTGGCTTCATGAAAAGTCTATTTGGTGTTAGCGATGGTGAGTAACTTTTTTTATTAAAATCACAAAAATATTCAAACGTTTATTTAAAATATTTGTCGGTTTGTATTAAACAGGAGTTGCAAATGCTGACGACGTGGGATATCTATTCTACTCTAATGCTTTTAAAAATTTACCGGAACCAGGTTCCTCAGCGGAAAAAATGGCGAATATTTTAACCAAATTATGGACGAATTTCGCAAAAGATGGGTTAGTAATCTTATTATTATGTTTTATTTAACGACATGTTAACAACGATCGATAATGCGTTTAATTTTTATTTCCAGAAATCCAACCTCGAAATTTGACACAGATATCTCAGTAAAGTGGGAACCAGTGGAAATCGATGATAGTTACCTTAATATTAATCAAGAATTAAAACTGGAGAAGAACCTGATGAAAGCTAAGTACGATTACTGGAAAAATAAGTACAAAGACGTCATGCCATAAATTCTTTATAGAATAGCATCCTCGCTTAATGTAATCCAAACTGTAGATAGATATAACAATAATTATAATTTAATTAAAACATCGTAGAATAAAAGCTCGGGTAATAAAAAATTTACATATTCTTCAGTACCGTTATTGTATTTCAGCTTCCTATACCGTTAAATTAATGTTTGTTATTTAAATAAAATTATTATTACGTTAGAATCATTCTCGCGACATTATCGGTGTTTCGTTATGTTCATAAACAATTTCATAAACAGCGTTAAAAGTTCTCTATAACGCGTTGCATCTATATACATCTCCTAACTCATGGCCAGTGTGTTTAAAGCGCGACTCGAGGTTACGTTATCAAACAGTACCTTGCCTACTTTCCATTCACCGAGCACCATTTTGCGTTCTCGTCTCGCCTCGTTCTTGGCTATTGGTTCACCACTCGTATTCCTGTCCTGTGGTTATCAGGGTCCCATATTATACTAGGAACGCTGTGTCCCGCCGTTCGACTGTTTACGAATCAATGGTCGGGCGAAACCTCGCAGAGGCATACCGCGAGGATCAGCATGGAAATCACCATGAATACACGAAAGAGGAGAAACGAGTCGCCATCTTAATCGTTCTACAAAGTGACCAACGCCATTCGCTTTCTTAGTCGTTACCACGTTGCCGTCGTTCGTCTACCATTTGTTCACCACTCACTTTTGTGCTTCGCTTGTAACAGGCTTTCAGAAAAGCGAGTAGTCGTTCGAGGCCGGAGCACGTGGACGGTTACGCGCATGCGTAGCGTAGCGCCGTAGTTCCATTCATTTAGAAAAGCGAGTAGTCGTTCGAGGCCGGAGCACGTGGACGGTTACGCGCATGCGTAGCGTAGCGTAGCGTAGCGCCGTAGTTCCATTCATGCGTCACGAGTCATTGCTCGATGAAAAGCGCGCGCGACTAGTACTGAATGAGATATCGCGTGTTCGCTAAGCTTGGTTATATATTTACTCGTAAATATATCATACGGAATCGATAAATGTTCAAATATACACCGAATTTATTACATCTCTTATTCGATAGTAAGAAGGGCTATAATTTGCATGGATTTTTAATATTTATATTAATTTTCCAAATTTTTATAGGTTAGAGATAATACATAATTATTTTAATATAAGTATATATTATTAAATTATGTGACACTTCGGATGTAGTTGGTAAAAATGTTTATTTATTCCTTCATTCTGTTATGCGGATAAAGATAGTGGGGGAAGATACCGAGGAAAAGATAATTTATAAAAGATAATTTAATTCATGAGTAAGTTATTTAATTATTAGTAATATTATTAATTAAATAATAATATTCTGATAATCCCTACGTGAAAATATAAAAATTGCCAAAGTAATATCAAATATAATAAGAAAATTGTTATCAAAATTTATTATAAAATTCAATAATAAACAAATTTTATTTGCAGAGGGTTGATAATTGACGTATCATTAATTAGCATTGCTCTAAAATTTATATCGTATGACGAATAGAGAGAAGAACGCGCGAGCGTGTTCGGAGAAGTTGAATTTACGCGCCGATTCTCATCGCGCGAGTCATTCGATTTTATCGAGGGACGTGAAGCAATCGAATGACCTCGAGTCTGCGAGAACAGATGATCGAGATGCTGCGACAGTGGACCGTTTCTCGAGATGATCTTCAACATCTTTCGATCCGGCTGTCATGAAGGGACAGCAGGTATTTATTTCATCTTACACGATCTCTGGACCAGTTTGATTGCCCGAGCTGCGCTACTTCTTCGCCCCCTTCCAACTTTCCGCGCTGCCAATTAAGTAATGCCACGATAAAGAAAATTTATTTTATCACCAAATCGACCAAATCTTATTTCGATAACCAGCAAACGAAAAAATATTCGATATATAATCTCCATCGGACATGCTTTCGTTCGATTAACTTTTAAATAAAAAGAATTTTACGATAGTCTATAAATTATTCATGTTTGGGCCTAAATTTGTTATTTTATCATTTTGGTCTATTCGTTTCATAATATAAATATTCGATAACAAATGCCGTAGATCTGAACGGTATCCGAGGCGTTTTACGCTGAAAGGAAAGGCGATACGTGGTTACGTGTGCAGAGAGCATGAAGCATAGAAAATGTACGCTTTATAATGGTGGATGGATGTTGGCAACCTGGATGGTATATTCGGGTAGTATATGGAATAGAGGGTAAGTTTGAGCGAGTCACTTTTTATTCGCGAATAAGTAAATGTCATTTTCTTTTATCGTTGTCTTCGCCATCGCAATGGAGTTCGTGTTCCGTGAAACGAAACGAAGCGACTCGTAGAGTAATAATTATACGAAATGACACGAATTTAGGTGGAAAGTTCCTATCGTCGAAGTGATATTAAACATTGGAGTGTTAATTCGTTTAACATTAAATAGCTCGCAGGGAGAATTAATCGGTATTACTTAAGAGTTTTCTAGCATTAAGTATCATCAACGGAAGCCATTTTCTTATTGTGGAATAACTGTACGCCAACTTATTAACGCTAACTGCACCAACCGATGCAATTACCGGTATAAATAAAGTCAACATTAGAAAACGGGAAATGCAACAAAAAATGCGTTTTCCTTTCCGTGTCAGTAGAAACTCCTTGGGTCGATGTTGTCGCATTTGTTCGTCACTCACTTTCGTGTTTCCATCGTAGTAGGATAGCATTTTAGTTAAGGAGGTTTGCCGACAGTTATAGTAATTCAAGCTTCATATCTACCTATATCTATACCTACACACACGCAGTCCTATCCTACGCACACCGCCGTCGGTCGTTTCATGTACTTCGTTATTCAAACCACGATTGATTGTCTGCCAATTTTCATACCAGGCATACCGACCTATATTATTTTAGTATTATATCTAATACTTAAATACCTAAACAATTTTATCTTATAATTCGTACACTGCTATCGAATCTTTCAGGCAGCAGGAAAATTTCAAACTACATTAATCAACATTTTTCCTATTACGAGAAAAGATCTGATTATCTATCACACAGAAGTCATAAATATCTTTATCCTAATTTGCAATAAACGCGTACTGTTCACGAAGATATGTAATAAATATTAACATAAAATTTCATAATCTAAGAAATTAGCGATACATAATAAAAAATTTCTAACGGTATTAATAAAATTTTTCCTAGAATAAATATCATGTAACTTAAAACAAACGCGCACTGTGTACGAAAATATGTAATAAATATTAATATAAAATTTCATAATCTAAAAAATTAGAAACATATAATAAAAAATATCGAACGTTATTAATAAAATTTTTCCTAGAATAATTATCGCGTAATTTAAAACAAGCACGCACTGTTCACGAAGATATGTAATAAATATTAATATAAAATTTCACTATCTAAAAAATTAGAAATATATAATAAAAAATATCGAACGTTATTAATAAAATTTTTCCTAGAATAATTATCGCGTAATTTAAAACAAACGCGCGCTGTTCGCGAAGATATTTAATAAGCATCTAATTAATCTAGAACTGCCACCATTTTATATTTAAAAGAATTAGTGAAAATTAATTTGCAGGAAATAGAAATTGCGTAAATATACGGAAAACATTCATGAAAAATAACAATCTGCCGTAAGTCCATAGATTCGTTCGAAGCCAGTCATCTCTTAATTTGCGCCGACCCGAAGCGCCAGCTGAACACGATCTGTTTCATTAATACACACGATCTGGACCGCGCGTCGAGATGATCTTCAGCTTCTATGTATCAGGTATGCATAACGCGGCGCCAACTTTTCATCTCATCCGTCTGGACCGCTTCTTTCGTGTCCTCTGACCGCTTGTTCCGCGTTTCGTACACGCTACCTCTACCGACGCATTCGCTCTTTAGCTTCTTCGTGTTCGAGTCCCGTCTGTCCGTAGCATTCGAGTGTCACGCGGCCTTGTTCGGGCGCTTCCCCTCGAGGAAACGACGTTTCTCTCCTGTCGTTGTCTGTCTCGTTGTCTTATCGGATCCACAAGCTCGTCGGCAGACGAAAGAAGGAATGTTGGAACAGCGACTTATGCGGCTGAGAAAGTGTTGGGTCGAAAAAGTCTCTGCATCCACTTTTATTCGACCAGAGCAGGGACGTATATTGCCTTCGCGGTCAAATGGGCTTCGATTTGGGATGGCTCGAGGCTTTTTAAAGCAGGAGAGCAGGATAAGGCCAGGGTGGTGCTTCCCGAGGGTTGTTTTTCTGCCACGGGTTTCAATCTTTTATTTCGTCCAGTTCTGGCTTATTCTGTCCATCCAGGAAAAATATTTTTTTATTCGATGAAATTTTATTCGTGAAAAGTTTGATTTAACGAGGTGAAAGTGCGTGGATAGAATTTCTTTGGTTGTTCGTTATTGTTAAAGGAATAGCAAGAATTTGGTATTTATTTAATAAAATGTTGGTTTTATCGTTATCAGTCTCGTTATTCGTTTCGACCCACTGAGCTGATCTTGGATAATTTATTTCCATATATTAGATACGTTTCACAGGTTCATCATTTATTTAGCTTCGAGATGATCCGTGTTACTTAATTAACTTTAATGACTTGGATGTAGTTATTACTTATTAGAAAGTGTTAAACACGAGGACAAATTATACGTTGCTTTAATCGCAGAAGATATGCTGCATCCACCATATCTCATATTTTTCCAATTTATATACTCATTTATTTACATAAAATAATGCGAAACAAAATCTCTGTAAGAATCGCATACGTAAAGAATAAAACGGCAAATATTTCGTAAGCTATTCATAATTTAAATAGTCTTCGAAAATTCAAGAGACTAATTATTTCTATGCACTATTCTTTATTCGCTGTGATATCGTACCGAGACAACGAATCGATATAAACTACCCTCGATAAGTCTCCTTGACCCCGGTTCTATAATTTTCATTCCAATCGAAGCCTCTCGTTATCAATCTCGATGTTTAGAATATACGGTAAAAAGGACGCTAAAGAATG